CCACTTTCAAAGAGAAATTACAGAGGGCTCTTATCATAAAACTCTTGAAGGCAAAATTGAAATTGGGTATGGGCATAGCAGACGAGATTCACAAAGAATTTCGAAAAAACAAACATTACCTCAAAGTCAAAGTTTTTGATAAAGATGAAATTTGGTCAGCCGATTTAATCAACATGCCAGTCGAGAGAGGGTAAAAGTATTGTTTGACGGTGATCGACATATACACGAGATACGCTTGGGTCTTTCCCTTGAAAAACAAATCGGGTCTGACTGTCAAACAAGCATTCGAAACCATAATGAAACAATCCGACAGACGACCCCTAAAGTTGTGGGTTGATAAAGGAAGCGAATTCTACAACAGAAATGTGAAATCTCTGGGGTTTGAAATTTACAGCACGCATAACGAAGGTAAAGCCGTAGTGATAGAAAGATTCAACAGGACTCTTAAAAGCAAATTATTTAAGAAATTCACGGAATTGAAATCTCAAAAATGGCTTAAAATATTACCAGTTGTTGTCGACGAATACAATAACAAAATACATTCGTCTATAGGTGTGACGCCATCGCAAGCCTCTAATAACCCGAATATCATAAAGTCCGTCAACACTCGAAACAACTTTGAAAACGAGATTAGCAATTTGAATATTAAACCCAAATTCAAAGTTGGAGATCGAGTTCGTATTTTTAAAAATAAATCATTGTTTCAGAAAGGTTACATCGGCTATTGGACTAACGAGATATTCATCGTTGATTAAGGAAACAACACATCACCCCCCACGTATGAATTGATCGATCAAGACAAAGAAAAATCATAGGAAGGTTTTATCAAAATGAACTTCAAAAAACTGACTTTTAAAAATGAATCTCGAAAATGAAGATTTAGATGAAAGGTTAAGAAATTTAGATGTCGACAAGCATTTACGCTCTCTTGAATTAAGATTTTTTAAATTTAAATGTAAATTTATCTTCAAAATATTATTGAATGTGTTTTATCAGAATGTTATACAAGTTTTTTCAAACACAAACTACGTATATATTTCGTCAATTGGGTCTTCAGCAATACTTTCCGCCTACTTCGAAAAACACTTAAAAAACAATCAACTTAAAAAATGAATGCATTTCTCGATAAATACGGAAAAGACACGACCACAAATTTTCAACTTGTGAAATGGGCCAAGGAGTTGAACGTCTCGCCGTTTTATTATTGCATGCGAGATGAAATTGATGAACTGAAATACAAGAAAGGTACATTTTACGCCATCACAAACATTCACACGTCGGATCAAAAAGGAGTTCATCACTCTGCTTTACACAAAGATTCTCCGAATAACTTTTATTTCTTTGATTCTTTCGGTCTAGAACCGACAGAAGAGATAACGAAAATGACTAGCAAACCAATCAAATGTTCTACGTTTCAAATTCAAATGCCAGGACAAAAGCTGTGTGGACAGCTGTCGCTTTGGGTTTTATATCGGTTGAGTTTGGGAGAAAAGTTTGAAGAAATTATAATAAATTTAACTCAATAAAAATGGCAAACAAGTTTGGATTAGGGTCTTTACCTCTAGAATCTAAAAATCCCATGAGTTCTACGGCGTTTATAAACAAAGCGAAACCTTTTTTCGTGGATCAAATCGGAGACACCTTACAAGGGGATATCGATATGAACAATTTCAAAATAACTAATTTAAAGTTTCCAGGAAACGATAACGATGCCGTGAACAAGAAATATTTACTGGATCAAATAAACGCAATTCAAATAGATAAGGACCATGTTGAAAATAGAATAAATGACGTGAAAAGATACCTCAGACGAAATATTAAAAATCTTGTGGACGAACCCAAACTACAACAAGAGTTAACGAGTTTGAAACGTCTTATTCAAGTGGTTGCAAAATTTAATATCTAAATTAGACGATAAGATTACGAAGGTAAAAATAGACGTCCAACGTTTAATAGATAACCCAAATGTAAACGAGGATAGATTGAAACGAAAACTAACCACTTTGGAAAGAAAACGTGGCGAATTGCTAGCAGAACTAGACAAGACCGCGGACAAAACCGAGTTACAAAATTCGATATCCAATTTGAACGAAAAGATCGCGAAGCAAAAATCAGATGTTCAAGATATAATTAACACACTTCCCATTGACAAAGATACGTTGAAACGACAATTGACTGCTTTGGATACTAAAATCACGGACGAATTAGAAAAAGAAGCGGGTGTGATTAAAAACTTTCTTCAAAATAAATTTCGAGATGATTAAATTATATTAAAGAACAGGTCAATCTTTTGGTATCTAGAATTCATGACGATTTTTTGAGACAAGAGAGAAAATTGAGCAAATTAGAAGATATTGTCACGGACAAATCGTATTATTTTAATCTTCCATTCGAAAGTGACACTGTCTAGGATGGAAGACCAAATTTATAAATCAAACAAATACGGATTCAAAGCAGAAATAATAGTGGGTTCTCTCGCATACGGAGATATCGGCGAAACGCAAGAGTTTTCTTTTCGAGGTAATTGTCTGATTCAAATAGAGTTTCCCATGAAGATTAAAGTCAATAAGGTAGTCTTCAAACAAACCGGTAAGGGCGTCAAACATATTTCATTATTCAATAATGGTAATTTGGAAGAGAATATACGTTTGATTGATAAAAGGGATCAGGAAATTGAAACGAAAAATGGTAAATATGTAGACACCTTTAAAATGGAAGTAGAAAATGATAAGGATATCATTGGAATCAAAGATTTGGATATGATATTGGAGACGGAAAATCCACCATTAACCAACATTGTCAAAATTCCACCATCACTTATAATATCCGTATACGTACCCGGACCAATAGAATCGAGCAGTCACGAGTTTTTACGAACAACAGACTTTGCAAACTGTATTTTGTTTACGATGGAATATACACCTCGATCGATGTTCATAAAAGTCAACAAGAAAGAGAGTTTATAGTACATTTATCGTTTGCCGAAGGTTCCGACTCCATCCTTGAAGGTGGTGGTTTTATTTCTAGAGCCAAGATAAACATCGAAAAAGAAAAAAGAAAATATTCCTATCATCTTAAAGAGGACCATACGAAAAACGAAATGTCGTTAGTACGCGTAAATGTTTTTACTTTTAATACCCGCAAATATAATAATGCTAGGCCAAACAAGTACGCTCTATACGATATTCCTTGGTTCCATTTATCGGAAATTCACTTAATTTAACGACTTAAAAAATGGAACTCGAAAGCAGACAACAATACATGATAGACAAACAAGAAGAGTTGAAAATAAAGTTGAGACAGTGCAATACATGCAGGAAAACATGGAGTAGAATCGATTCTTTTTTAAAAACAGCGAGCACAGTTCTAACGGTAGGAGTAACGGTGGCAACGGCCGTGACTGGTGGATTAATGCTTCCGGTCATCGTCCCAACCGTATTGGCTGCATTAACAGCCGTTCAAACGACTTCTTGCGGTCTCATCACTTTAGGTTTCACGAGCAAAAAGAAAGCTCATTATAAAAAGAAAACGGATATCTTGAATATGTATCTTAATCAATTGTACATCTTTTTCGAAAGATCGAGAGAAGACAAGAACATAATAGTTGAAGAATTAAAAGAATTCAATGAAATTTTGGACAAATTCCATACAGAAATATCAGCGGTCAAAATAAAGAAATAATCAAAAATATGAATAAAATCGAACTTGCAGACGATGAAACATTGATAGAAAACGCCCTATTTTCCGATGTTATCAAGGCTATCTCTGATAAATTTAAAACATTCAAAGGACAAATTAAAATAGATGGAGAGATAGTCGAGGAAACGAATCACAGACAATACATGTCACTCCTCGGTTTCAATGCCAAAACCTTTCACAATATCTTTTCAAATATGGACAAAAAATCCGATGCTTCCGATTGGTATTTTACAGGAAAAATAATTTTAATGAAAGACAATTTCCAAGAAATAAAAAGATCGAGAGTTGGTAGAGGAGGAACTGATCTACTTAAAAAGATAAATGAATACGAAGGCGAAAATTGTTACATACCTACAGATGGTCACTGTTTTATCAAATGCGTCAATCGTGTTTTGAACAAAGATTTAACGTGTAAATTTCAAGAATACATCAACGGGTTTTCAAAAGCAAATAGAAAAGGAGTGATGACTTGTACTAGAATGAAGGAATTCAACAAGAAATTTAACACTTCGTTTCAAATTTATAATCCCAAAAACAGACATTTTCACCCCAGAGACGTTCACGATGAATTAGATTGGGTTTTTTACTTACACAACTCGCATTTCTGTCTGATTAGAAGAAGCCAAAAAAGTTTGGGAATTCAAGAAATAGAAGACAATTACGAACAGGTGTGGAAAACGTGTAGAGACGACAACGCAGTAACACAGGTTTCACCTCTCAAACTAAACGTGCTTTCGAGTATGAGTGATGATGCGTTATTCGCTTGGGATTGCGAAACGTATTCAGAAAATGACACGCGAAGAGCAATTCCTTATGCCTGCACTTTAATTAATTTAGAAAAACTAAGGAAAATGTTAAACAGAATAAATAATCTCTTTCCAGATTTAAAGTCGTCAGATACCATTCCAGAAGAATTTTACAACAAACTCATGACTAATATAGTAGAAATATTTGTAGGTACAGATTGCATCGATCAAATGTTGAAATATTTAGGTCAATATGATAGAAAGAGATTAATATTAATTTCTCACAACGGTAGTGGTTTCGACAACTGGATCGTGCTTAAAAATACAAAAAAACTAAAGCATTGCCCTTTAAAAACACCCAGAGGAATTCTATCTTTTCCTTTATCTAATCCATACACGGATGAAGATTTACAGAAAAAATGGAAAAGACAGAAAGAAATAAAGGGTAATTATTTACAACATATTAATTTCACGTGTTCCTATCAACACGAATCCTCTAGTTTGGCTGCATGGGAAAATTCTTCCAATCTCCCCGCGAATTTGAGAAAGATTGCCGACGTAGATATCGCTAAATACACGCAAGACAACTGGGAGGAATTGAGACACGAATGGGAACCTTACGCCAAGAGAGACACTCTCTGTTTGGGAGCTTGTTTGATAAAATACAACCAAGTCACGAAAGGCGTTGTAAACCAGAATATGTCCAATAATCTAACGGCTCCATCTTTATCTTTAAAGGGTTGGTATTATTTATATCATTACGATAAAGAAATGGTGGAAGAAGAATGGTATGAAACTACTAGAATGGTTGCGAAACATACCGAAAAAGAAAATATAGAAAAAGTTTATTCGCACACTAATCCTTTTATAAGAAATTTTATCAGACGATCTATTAAAGGAGGAAGAGTTTCGGCAAATAGAAAATCATTTGAAACGAACAAAATGGATGAAATTTGTAACGTATTAAAGGAATATATTTCACAAACAGAAAGTAATAACATAATTGATTTATTCAAAGAATACAGCGCAAGCACAAAAGACAAAACGGAGGTTCATTCGAGACTTAAAAAAATAGAATGTACTAAACTAATGGCATTTGATGCTAACGGTCTATACGCTTCCGCCATGTCGGATTTAGACAGTCAATATCCGAGAGCAGAAAGTGGAAGACCGTTTCTACCAGAAGAAGAAAAAGAATTTGTAAAACTCTTCAATAAACAAAAATTCAGACCTAGAACAGCTATTTTAACAGTGTGGTTTGACTATCCCAAAAACATGTTCTTCCAACCGATACCAGCTAAAGATAAAATCACTTTCACGAATAAAGAAGGTAAAAAGGAAACGGGTAACAAAATCAGGTTCAGAAATGGTTTCTGTCACGACGTTTTAACATCGGTCGATATTCAAGAAATAGTGAAAGCCGGTGGACGAATTATTAGAATATTAGATGGTATAGTTTACGAAGAAAATTTTAAAACTCCACCCTATAGAGATTATATTTTAATTTTGAGAGATTTAAGAAATAAATATAAACGAGAAGGTAATATCGTGGGTAGTAATTGCATGAAATTATTAGGTAATTCCTTGTATGGTAAATCAATTCAGAAAGATATATTCACAACTAGACATTTATGGAATGAAGCAACTTTACAGGCCAACTTTGATTCACGCGTTAAAACCTATGAGAAAATTAATGATACTCAATATATTGTTGAAACAGAAATTGAAGAAAAAGAGATTACTACCGAAGATAGTAAATCTACACGACTAACACCTAGTCATTTGGGATCATTCGTTTTATATCACAGTAAAAAAATAATGAACAATTTCATTTCATAAATGGATTTTATAAACCCGAAATTTACTATACCGACACCGATAGTTTGTACATTTCATCCAAAAATTGGAAAAAACTAAACAGAGCTGGTTTGGTCTCCGAAAAAAGCTATTGCAAAGGTAAAAACGATTACGGTGACGGTGGAATTATATTTGGTTTATATTTAGCACCAAAAGTCAAATACAACATCGTTTTGACTTCTGATGGTGTCTTAAAAGAAAAGAAAACGTTTAAAGGTTATTCTAATGATAAGATAAGTGTAGAAGATTACGTTCAGTTAGCAAGCGGACATGATGTGTCGAACGAATTTAATAAACCATGGGAAAAAAGTTTCACCAATGGAGTAGTTATTCCAAATGATAAACAAACTAAAGTTTTTAGAAGTTATTTGAATAATGTTAAAAGAAAACCACCAAACAGTGAAGGAATTGTGTATCCTTACAACGACAAAGATGAGTATAGTTTTGACGAAAACTATGAATTTGATGATTTCGATTATCTTTCTAATCAAGAAGAGAATGAAGATTGTTTTAAAAGAAGTTGAATGACAATTTCTTCGTTGCCAAAGTCTATGAACCTGTTTTTACCGTCTTTGATTTCCAGATTTATATCTTTGATCATGAAAGAATTGGCTGGTAAATAGGTCGTTTGAAACGGTTTCTCTATAATTCTGTATCCGATCGGCACCGTAAAAGTCGGTATGCTGTATATGATTTGGCTTTTGTGCTTGTTGAAAAATCCACCGTTGATCAAATTACAGTGAATGTTGATCACATCGATATCGTTCTCGATGTTGGCCTTGTACGGCGCCAATGTCGATTGTGTGTATATTCGTTTATCGAACCCTAGTAACGCATTCAACGAATTTTCTACGTTGAAATCGACTTGACTGTTATTTCTCAAGATCAGTTTTATTTTGTTCAGATTCAAATTACCTTCGAATTCGATATTGTTTTTGCCGTTCACGCTTCCTGCGTATTCGGATAGGTATTCGTTGATGGCTACGTATTCGTAGCTTCCCGCTAGTAAGTTTATTGTTTCGAACGTAACTCCGTTATCCGTCGATATTTTTAGTAGATTGTTTTTTTCGTTGATGAATTGTAAACGGAGAAATACTTTAATCCCAGTTCGTACTGTTTATTGCGATCGAGTTCATACTCGTAGTCTAGAGACAATTTGATGTCTGGTTTATTCGAGGTGGTAACGAACAATTGTTCTTTATTGGACATTTTTAATGACGTTTATATAGTCTTTTTTAGTGATGATTTTTTTCTCCAAAAGCCGTTTTAATATGCCATTGACTTCGTTGTATTGTCTGTCCGATCGATGACCTTCCTTCATGGCCGCTAATATTATTTCTAATCTATTAAGCAATTCTTTATTGTCGTCGGATAAAAACGTTATACCTTGTCCAGATGCCACCATATCATCGAATTCGTCTATTTCTTGTATGATTGGATTGTTGTCTTCAGCATAATCATCTACTTCGTCAACTTCGTATCCATCATCATGATCAATTACTCTTATATATAGTTTAACTTCTTTCGATCTATTTGTTTCGGGTCCCGACCTTCTTATTGCATCTAGAAATTTTGAGTATGCTTCTAAATCATTGTAATTGGCAATTTCAACATCCTCGCCATTCATTAAATCTATTAACCCTCTCGTTAATGTAAATATAAAGTCTTTTGTGTCGATTTTGAATTGTGGTGAATTTCCACTAAATCTTATTCTAAAACCATTAAACAACAAACCCTCATCATCAACGATTGGTGAAATGCTCTTTGGTAAATCTGGGTCAGGGTTTGAAAAAAGACGTTTTATATCATCTAATGTCCTAATTATAATACCATTATATTCAATCGGTTTGGGTTCTATATGAGCTGTGGGTTCTAAAGCTAATTTCTTTTTAATATCCTCTTGAGATTTTAATATGGGTTGAAATAGAGTTTGTAGATTTTCTGTTAATCCGAGTTGTTGTAATTTGTATTTTTCAACTTGGGTCTTTATTTTATTCTTAGCTTTGATATATTCTCTATTTCTTTTTAAAATATTATTCCAATCCGTCATTTTTAAAAAAATAAAATTAACATATATCGATCATAACTCTTTCTCCCGCAGGTTTTCTAGTATTTACAAATACATATCCATGATCATCTGGGTTTCTCCATTGAGCTTTACAAACCTTTTTACATGTATCTCTATCCATTCCGGATTTATAGACTGAATGATTTGAGATAAATCTTTATCGTTTAATTCAAATAATAAAAAACAATTTGCATTTTTTCTAATGAACATAGAATCCATCCCGTAAAAAGATTGTGATTGGTATATGCAGTGACAGTTGTGATGTCTTCCTTTGGTGAAGAATTCTTGTTGAACAGTTTGATTTCTTTGCGCTACGCAGTCGTCAAACAATATTAAGTTCTTTCGATTGCTATCAATATTAGACAAGTCTAGATCATTAACATTTTTCGTAAGAAAAACTTTTATATCCGTTGGATTGAAAGATGGATTCTTTGATTTAATGAAGTTTTCTATGATATCTTTTATTTCCACTTCTTCTTCGTTTTCTTCGTAATATTGAAATATGTCTTGAACGTCTTTCTTTGGTAAATATTCCAAAGCTTTGAGAAATTGATAATACGATTGCTCTGGTGTTGTTGTGTAGATATACAGAGAATCGAAATCTAAAAGGTTTGGTGTTGTCAACATGTTAAAAGTGAGATGAGTTTTCCCAGAACCTGAACTACCGCAAATACACATGAGCATTGGGTTACTAGGAAATATTTCTGAATGATTAAATTTTTTGCCCATTTTTATTTATTACATTTTCGTACCAAAAATCACTCCGTTGCCTTTATACTTTGAAAGGAAGATTCCCTCGCCAGAACGTATGTTTTTAAAAAATATGGCGTTGCCCTTGTGTTTGACCTTCATTTCTCCAGTGTCGATTTTATCTATTAATTTGCTTAATCCCTCTTTAACGGTTTTCTTGGTTTCTTCGCCAAATCTTTGTCCGAATTCTTTAACCGTCCTTAATATATCTCCTACTCCCGAACCTCCTCGTGCTTCTCTTTCCATTGCCAAATTGTGTCTACGTGCTTCGGCGTTTGCAGCGGCTTCAGCTTTCTTATCGTTGACAGCTTTGGCTATCCCAGCAGCTCCACCAGCAGTTGCACCGGCTGCAGCTAAACCAGCAAAGATTAAAGGTAAGAAAGGTAAAAATCCACCTTTTTTAGTTAAATTCTCATCAATTCTTTCCAAGTCTATATCGTCTCTGACTTTGCAATGTTTGTATTTATCGATAATCTTTTGGGTTATATGCACTTTTTTACCGTTGTAAGTTATTAGAGTCGGCGAATTCGTTTCCATAGCTTCTATTATTTTCATAACTAAAGTTTCTGGTTTCATTTTTAAAGGGTGTTTTTTTATTCAATTCTTATCATTCTTCTATCTGATATTTTAATCAAATGTTTTGCTTCTTCCAGCAATAAACAGTAGCCGGTCACACCTCCTTGTGTTTTATTGATGTGAATATTTATGTTTACCCCTGTTTTGAAAAGATCTTCTTGATGAGCTGACAGATCGAAACAAAAGATTGGATGATTGAGTGAAAAATCTGTGTATTCAAACTGAGGCGTATTTCCAAACAATTCGCACATGTTTTTATAGTTTCTGTACAATTCGTTGTAATCTTTTTTGGAAGGATCAATTGTCAAAGGTTGATTGGGATAATTATCGTTGTTCAATCTGACTTGAACTTTGCGAATGATGGGATCTTCAGTATGGTTCAATGCCACTCTGAAAATGTTGTTGTTGTTTGTCTGAGAGTCTGGCAGGTTTTTGAAACCGACCATTAGATATCTCGCTGGTTTGACGGTGTTGGTAATTGGCCACGTGGTGGATTCTCCCGTTAAAGTCATGCTACCTACCGTGTTACGACGAAGAAAAGCAATTTCGATGTCTTTGGTTAAAGAGTTGAATATTCTCGTTTCCACTTCTACGGAAGGAGTGATTACCGGTATGTAAAGTTGGATATTCGTTATTTCCAATTTAGCGTCAGAGTTGTTTTCACCAAAGAATATCTTGTTGTCGTTGATTTCTCTTTGCAAATGAATTTTATACGGTAAACCTATGGAAACCTTTCTGTGTTCCAAGAGACCAAATAAAGGATACAACTTCCAATTTACGTAATTACCCCATCTGTTGTTCTCGACAGAGTTGTTGTATTGAAGCGCTCGTTTTTCAAATCCGTGATTTACTCCGCGAGTCACTCTTTCCAGTGTGTTTTTAGCAACAACTCTAACTCTAGCTAAATCGGCATCATTTGCAAGATTTCTTACCGGTTCTTTTAAAACTTCTCCGTCACCGACATCGGGAATCCATCCCGAAACTGAATCGTAGTTTTTGGGATACAGAACCGTTTTCAACATTGTGTCAAACTCGCCGGGGTGTTTTGTGGTCTCTATCGGATTTGAACCAGCTTCCAAAACCATTTCGCTGAATAAAGACGGAAAGAAGTTGTTTTCTAAAGTCGTGTTGGTTTGTGGAATTCGATTCTGAGCGCCGTCTTTGATTTTGAAATCGCATCGGAAATGGGCATCGGAAAGCAGCAACCAATTGGACAACGAATTAATTTCAAAGGTAACTCTTCCTCCGTCGTTTATTTGGGTCTTTGTCCCTACCGATGGTGAGATGATTACGTAATCCTCTTTCTTCTTGTTGAACGAATATTGAATCGGATCATACAATTGAAAGATTGGATCCAATCTGTAATTT